TAAACTGTTAACATCCTAAATCATATTCAAAATGGCATTCATTATTATGGATGATTTCATTAATTATTGAATGTTAATTTCCGAATGCAATGAACTTTATTAATTTTGTTGATGTTTAAATATTCAAAACTATAAATAAGTCACATTTTATAAAGATATATATATGATTTTCTCAAGTATACTTACATGTGTATATATATAATGATATATGCCGAATGTTTAGGATGTAATAAATTAAAGAATTTTACTAATTTACTTCAATTTCTCTACTAGGGTAAGTAGTAGGGTGATTGTTATTATTTACCCCCGAAAATCTATTGTTATCCTTTTTAGAATTAGGATCCAAAGATTTAGCAACATGAATTTCCAATACATTACGTAAGTTTGTAATAAATCCTGTATCATTATCAACTAATTGAACAAGTTCAATCATGTGCAATGATTCTTTAATGGCAATGAAGTGCAATGCGACTGATTCGCATGTTGAAGGATGCAATGGACTTAAATAATAAATCGAATTAGTTAATTTTTTTTTTTTTTTTTTAGGAAAAAAATATAGACCGAGAGGTTTATGATCATTACCCGATTCTGACATTATTTTCCAAACAAACAATATCTGCATCTGGCGTCTCTGTTTCTAGGTACTTCTTTATGAAATCTAGAGTGATCATAATAAAATATTGTTATAGAAACCTTACTTAGTTGTCTCTTTAAAAAACAATGGTAAATTTTTTCAACTTATATATAATATTACCTGATTCATCCAAGAATGGTTCCAGCTGATTTGACTGACTTACATTCCCATTAACCATTTGTTCAGTTTGTATCGTTATTTTTGCTCCTAATGGGGCTGCCACTAGATTCCTAATAGCCCTATGATCAAATATTAAACAATTCTATAGTTAAAGGATAAAGAATAAAATCATTTTTCGAGGAATAGGGTAATCCTTACTTTTCATTAGGTCGCTTTTTATTAGGAACCATTACAGTAAATCTACGTATATGTTTAGACCTGTTGACGACAAAGACGTGTATTGTGAATGCTTTGCCCACTACTACTTTAGATGCAACTATTAAATTAAAAAAAAAAAAATTAAAAAAATTAATTTGAATCAACAAAGATTTGGTTTTGAATTGAGAAATGAATAAGTAATAAATAAATATACCCAAGAATGACACAACGACGCCATCACCAACTTCCACTTCCATGGACTTTTCAGATAGTGGAGTCCTTCCGCTTGAAAGGATTCCATTTCCAATACCTATGTTATCATGATCAGGTATCGTGGGAAGACCTGTATATTGCTTCTTTACACGCCCATTATTGTCAGCTGAGAAATAACTTCTAGCGGCTGTAGGTGTCGTTGACCCAGTTGGTGAAAATAAAGTTGCGCTCCTTGACGATGAAGGAGAGTGTAATTGACCTGGTCTTGTTAAAAGGGACATGGGCCTTTGATTTGTATTTTGAGGGGTTGGCGGTGGATAAGAATCTTCACGTCTACGTAGATTAGATAAATCTAACATACAGTTCCACCTAGATTCAATACTTCTACTTTTCACATCATTGTGAACAGGTGATCCCTTAACAACAATAGATACATGTCGTTGACGATCCTCAGAAGCTGGAGCATAAGAGGAATTGACCGAAAAAACTGAAGCAACAGAAGAACGACGTGAATGAGTCCGTGAGTGAGGGTTGGGTGTGGGGTAAGGTGTTGGAACTAATTTCGGAAACGAAGGGTCATCAAGGATTGTTATGTTATATAAAAATGTCACTTGGTCAACTGGATTAAGGGTTAATGGGAACTTGTCCTAGAGAGGATCAATCGAAAACAGGATTAGAGCGTTCATATAACGAAATGATAACATCGAGAAGTGACATGATTACCGTTTTATTATCTTTGGGACCCCAATCATATCTCGTCACAAAACCGTAAGCAATCTCTACATTAACCACCTCAACAGAAAATGAACCACCCGCGTCTGTGTTATTTTCTAATTCAACAGACATCATTAAAGCATTATCCAAGGGTGACACGCTGGTAGTTCTCATACGAACGTTCAACGCTGATTTCACGGACAAAATTTTTCGAAAATCACGTCTCATCGTTGGAGGCGAGTATGATGAATTTGCTCGTTTAGCATCTGAAGAATATAAACGTGATGGAGGTAACAAAAGACTTTTTGTGGATTCGTCGAAAGACGGGTCTATTATAAAAAAAATACGAGTTATTTCTAAATTAAAAGGTTAAATTTAAACATCGTTTTTTTCACAAACCATCATTTAATCCTTCTAATAGGTTCATATTGCCAAAATTTTCAGGAGAGTATAAATCGGCTTCCGGTGATTTTACAATATCAATCTGAGCTTTTGGTTGAGACTTTTGCGTCACTATTGTGTTAAGCGCTAATGCAGGTGTCTGAGCTCGGGTTTTAACATAAGCTATAATTAGGATTTAAAATTAAAATCTGGTTAATATAAATAAATATCATATAGATTATCAAAAATTTACAATTTAAGAAAATAATGTGAGCTCACCTACGGGTACGGCCAAAGGGACAACGCAAGTCCAACAGCCATTCCTTTCAAGGACCACCATTTGACGATCCTTTGTATTCGGGTTATATAGGTATGAATATATTACAGCACCTTCCGTAGATTTATTGATCCTTTTATCCATTGGGGGAGGTAGAGGAGTTCCAGGAATTGATGGTGAAGTAGCTGATGAACTATCTCGAGATCTTCCAGGAGGGGGCAAACGATATACAGCTGGAGGATTCGGGGAAGGAACAGATAAAGTACTTGCATCAATAATTGATGCTTCAACAAACATCTCCAATTGACGAAAATAATTTGTTGCGGCATCTTGATTAGAAAGATCGGAATCGGCAGGAAGAACGATTATGAGATAAAAATAAAGCGTCTCGTCTTTTTAATCAAAGAAAGGGATTGATTAGTGATTGAACTATACGAATCGAAATTATGAATAGCGGATCAAGAAATCCGAACCATAATATGCGATACTTCTTGCTTTCGTAGTAAAAATCGAATCAACTTCTTCCTTGGTACACTGAATGATTCCGTTAGGTACAGCAATGTCCAAGGTTAATTCATTTATTAACGTTTCTTGAGCTTTCATGATTACAATAAATTTAAATGCCAAGAGTTTTTTTTTCTTTTAAAAATAAATAAGGTAATTAACGTCACAAATAATCGAGCGAAGGAAAGATTGGAACATCAATGCATCCTTAAAATCTGAGAATAAATCTCATGTGGCACGTATTACAATAATATATTTGTGTTTTTTTTAAATTTTTCGTGATACGTACGCAATACAATCACGTGGATTTGGAAATTTTTTTTTTTTTCTAAAATGCAACGAATTTAATTTTCGAACCAATCAAAAAAAATTTATTCAATTCCGGGCAAAATGTTAGTAAATATTTATTGTCTACGTCTTATGTCATAATTGACTTTCACGGAAATACGGATTGAACAACTTTTTAAGATAATGTATTTAGAATAATAATTATGAGAAACGAACAAAGAAATCCCTAGTGGTAATAAAATGAATTCGTCAAAATAAAATGATCTTTGATTGACCTCTTATTATAACTTTATGAAAATTTCTTTTTTTTTTTTTTTCACGTAATTCGGGTCTTGTAATTGCATTTCCCCGGTATTACCATAAGTAGACATTGCATTGACGAACCGAAATCTTAGATGTTTTATCTAGCAAATCCTGATTTGTAATTTGATTCCAATAATTCGATTAGGATCTTACCGTTAACAGTTAATATAGAATGAAAACACCAACCAAAAACACGAAGAATGGATAAACTAATCAAAATCCACCAAAAAGGTTTGTTATATTTTGAAAAACACAAATGCACTTTTTGAAATGACCAATTAATAAAATGTTTGTAACACTACGCTAAATTAGTCACCTTCATCAATGATTTCACCAATGATACATGAATCTAAAGCCAATTAATGAATGAATGAGTAAATAAATCAATTAATCAAATAAATAGTCTTCTAATAAATGTTATTTTTTTCCTTTTATGAAAAAAAAAGCATTAAATGTTTCTGTGAGAAAAAAAAGAAAAAATTAAATAGATGACTTGTCGCAGTTTGAAGATGTTTTAAGTACGAGAAATTAGATTCGAATTATCATTTGCCCCGAGCACTTAAAATTTAAAAAAGAAAAAATTTTTTTTTTCTTTTTCTTCGAAACAACTTATACACATACATCTTTTTGTAACATTCATTCTTTTTACTTTTAATTTATAATATATTCCTCATTTCACACTTTCAATCATGATTAAATCCATCGCTTTCATTTACATCATGTTTCTCGTTTCGTATTCTAACGCAGATGATCAAGTTATAACGCATATAGATACGGAATTTACAGATGACACATATATCAATTATGATGAGATACCAAAACTTGACAACGAAGAAGTTTTCGGTCCAGATGCCGTTCGTGATTTTTACATAATTATGGGTTTTGGCCTAATTACGTTGCAATTAAATTTTTTTGGCAGCTTGTACGTCATATATAGTAAGTATTTGTGATTAATATCGATTTCACCAAAGAAATAGCTTATTAAATAACGCCTTAAAATTTTGAATGGATTAGGGATTTATGTTCAATGGAGACGTGGCGGAAGAACGAGCATTTCCTTATCTTTAAGATTTCCGTTTTACATTGCATTAACTGGTAAGCGTAAATACAACATATATATATATGTATGAAAAAGTATTAATTTCCTCCTTTCCTTATATAAATAAGATGCGTTCCTTTCTCTCGGATACACAGTTAATTTGGTAATTATTTTTAGGAAAAGATAACATATAATAAACAAATAAAATATCTAATATTTTGAAAATCGCACTCTAGAGCTATACTTTTGTTTGGAAACTTCCGTGGTCAAATCCGATGTGCGGAATAATCGGAGCTAGCGTAGTAACATTATTTACGCTCAACATGTTCCTTGTGGGTATTATAGCTTTGACGACATGGTTACGCGTATGCAAAGAATATTATGTAGATTTCGGGCCATACGATTATAAACTTTGGACTTTAACGACTGCATTATCGGTCATTGTCGTATGTCTTTCGATAAATGAAGTCGGTCAACAAAAATATTGGTATGTATTTCTTAAATTTTTATTTTTATTTCTTTTGGATCAATTATATAAATAATGTATTATATCTTATCAGGTGCGCGGGAAGGCATCATAAAGTCATCATACCTATCATCATGTTCTTAATTATTCTTTTAATTTTGTTAACGATTCTCATATGTTATATAAAAGTTTATTTCAAAGTTCATAAACTTGATGATTTACTTACCTTAAATAATTCTACGCCACGAAGAGCTCATATTGAAAAACGAGCTTTGAGAAAATTAATATCATACATCTTTACATTCATCTTACAATTCGTAAGTAGGATCAACCAAATAATTTCTTTCTTTTTAAGACCTCTAATTAACCTTGCTTCTAATACTTCTAATATATAACCCAACCAGATCCCTCTTCTAACTTATCATGCCTGTAGTTTTGCCATGGTAAAAAAAAAAAAAATTTTTCTCAATAAGAAAAAAAAATTTTAAGATTTTAATTTCTTTTTTATTTATCAATAACATTCTATTTAACTTCTCTTTAACGTAGTTTGAAAATGTTTTGTTGTATATGCTGGCCACTACAAGTAAGAAAAAAAAAAAGAAAAAATTTTTATGATATTTCAAGATTATTAACTTTTTTTATTTTAATAATTTAGCGATAAACTTTGGAGGCATTGGTAATTTCTTTCAGTTCGTTATCAATGAAGGATTTTCTTCATCACAAACGAGTTCACAAACTTCTTCAATGGAAAGTTCACAACAAATAAATTCCATTGAACCTGAAGAAACAAAAACTACTGATTCCAACTATGTGCGAGAAATTGGAGACTCAACTATTGAACGTTACCGATTTTCATTAGAATTCGGTGAGAAATTCGATGAAAATATAGTAAAGAATTTAAACAACGTTATTGTAAGCGATGATAATGGTGATTTGGAGAACGATAATATAATGTTTAATGACGCCTTGACAGTTTTTGACTCTTCAATTAACTCAACCGATGTCTTGTTAAATCGAGATGATTATTTTTACACGAAATAATATAAGAATATACTGAGAATTCATAAATTGTAAAATTCCTCATTTTGCAATTACAGTAATTTATTATATGCCAAATAAATACACCAGTAATTATATATGTAAGCATTCCATAACTAATTAAACATCCATTTTCATGATTCTTGTATCAAAAACCATCGAGATATTTATCCATTGTTTAATCTGCTTTCAACTCCCCGGTTCAACAACCGTCATGTGAATTTTATTTGATTTTTTTTTTTTTTGCATATTTATCATCATTAGGGTTAAATAATCTTTCGGTAGCTTTTATAATTAATTCAAATATTTTCTCCGCATAACGTTAATTGTAAGAAAAAATGAATATGTATATAAAGATGGATAACCGAATAAATATATATAATATTTGCATCAAGTAATCCAACCATTTCTTTCATCATCAATGATAAATGTATTCTCACATTAGATTGATTGTATCATAAACATTTTCCAAAAGTTAAGTTAAAATTTATTACACAAGCTTGTAAGCAATAATATAGATAATCTTCTATCACTTCACTTCTTCTTGACAACTATACAATAATAAATTAATAAGTCAAACGGATTAGAATAAATGATATACCGTTTAGGGTCATACCTTGAATAACATCTTCATTATCTATTATATGTGCTAATCCAACTCTCTGTGGATTATGTTTGGTAGAAGTTCCCTAAATTACGAAAAGGAAAGGGTATTAAGATCAATTCGAGGTAAAATATTATTGAAAGATAAGAACCAACATATACCCAAACCAAGGCGTATCTAAATTCATCAACCAACGATCTGTGAATTGCATGACACTAATAACAAGCACAATTATTAAACAAGGTTCAAACGAAGGTGAAAAAAAAGAGCTATAAGATTATACGAACCACGTGTTCAACAGAAGCACCTTTCCTAACAATCAATCCACCCACAAGATCAGGATATTCTCCTCTCTTTTTAGTGTAGACCCTCAATAAATTCAAATGTTTCCAAATTTGATCAATCAAATAATCAAGGTTTAGATCCATTTCACAACTAAAAGAAGAAATCTATATTGTTAAATAATTTTTTTTAAAGAGAATTATTAATAAATTATAATTATAAATGTATATACCTGATGACGATAGTGTTGTGCTCATGAGCTAATTTATCTAATTCTTCAATTGTGATCGAATCGATCTTGTTATAAACAAAAAGACATTTTATATATTTTCTATTTCCTAACACAACATCAATAAATTCGTCAACTGAAATATCCTCGCGTACTAGCACTTCAGCATTGAATATCTCTTAAGTTTAAAAGTAAATTTGAAATTAAAGATAAATATTGATATTAAGTGGCCTTGCATTTTTTTTTTTTAAAAAAAAAAGTATAAAGGATACTGTAATCATGTAAAATATGATAAACCATTTTTTCATTCAATTGTGTCAGTTTTACTGTAGCATTAAAACTGATCCCACCGCCTTTTTTAATCTAAATGAAGTAATGTTAGAATTCTATGCGAATACTAAATTTTTGCCTGAATGAATGGATTTTGTAAATAAAACCTTGAAATAGACATTCGGTTTTTCGCAATTTAATCGAATGCCAACCGCCTCTAACTCACGTTCTAATAAATAACGTTGTTGTCTACTTTTTGTAGCATCTAACATCATTACAATCAAATCTGCTGTTCTTGCAACGGCAATAACTTGCCTACCACGACCTTTGCCTAAGAAAGTTTTAAAAAGGGATCTCATTTCGTCTTTCTATGTCCTCGAAGAACAAATTGGAATAGATCTAATCAAAAAATCATCAAACCTTGTGAAGCTCCTTCAATAATTCCTGGCAAATCGAGCAATTGAATATTTGCTCCATTATATTCTATCTTTCCAGGTATGCACGTAAGTGTTGTAAACTCGTATGCTCCGGCTTCGGAATGAGTTTTTGTAAGTTTATTCAATAATGTTGATTTACCAACTGAAGGAAACCCAATTAAGGCTACACGGGCATCTCCCGATTTCATAACATCGAATCCTTCTCCCTATATGATTTTTTTTTTTGATTTTCTTTTTAAGTACCGGACGAAAATTAATTAAAAACGTTAGTTAAATTTAAAAGAAAAGACTTACCTTCGCGCCGGCGCCTTTTGTCGGTTCTAATAATTGAACTCGATACTTTGCCAACTTTGCCTTTAGCAAACCAAGATGATACTCGGTAGCTAATTAATAAAATTAACACATAAGTAAGGTTTTTTTTTTTTAATAAAATAAAAACCATTATACTTGAACAACTTGACAATCATTTAATTATATTACCTTTATTTTTTTGCGTCCTTGATATTTCTTTTTCAATCTCTGCAATTTTTTCCAGAATACCCATTTTTTTAGTGAAGATATTTTTTTTTTAAAATTATACAATTTTTATATCTTGAAACCGCAATCTAACCAATTCCGGTCTTAACCACGTGATAGCATATATAAACCGCAGTAATGCCCATGCACAATAATTTTTTTTTAACCATTTCTCATTCCAAATATATCTTTTTAATTCGATTCTTTTTTTAATAAATTAAATAAGATTGATTCCTATGATCTGATGAGAAATTTGGCGCAGTGGCACGAGGTTTTTTTTTATATAAAGTTTGACACAATCATCATTTGAACTTGTTTTAAAACTTTTTAAACATACAAAACTTTATTTGCAAGTTTTTGATTAAGGGAGGTTTAAAGGCCAATTTAAGAATTCATCTTTTTTTTTTTAGAAAACATCATTATATTACGTTTTGGGAAATGATATGAGTATGATAACGTGACGAGAAAATGTAAAACTCATTTTAATTTTAACTTTCGGATATTTCAATATATAATTTTGTCTTTCGACGATTTCATTTATGTTATAGTTTCGACCTTAATCAATCGATTAAGATCAAATAATCTATACTTTACATGCGTCAAATAATGAAACATTTACGAACTTGCGTGCTTCTAGGCAACAACATTTCATCATTTGTTGGAAAGTTTCCAATTCGTAAAAATTGAATCACTTATCATCATCAATATATATTATTTCAAAGTTTGCATAATTTATACAATTGTTCCCTGAATTTTATTACTTTGCAAAACTTTAGTAAGCAAAAGCGCTTTAATTTGCTAAGAAAATTATATATTAACCAAGAATTAATAAATTTTCAAATGAGAAAGTTTATAGATGAAAAGAGAGATCCAATAATAAATAAAGAACTTGTCTTTTATTTATTTACTTTATCCTCGAACTATTATGTTGATATCTTATCAACACATCTTTTGCTGTATATAGATCACTGGGATTCGATTTAAATAATCTCGAATTGACACAAATACAAAAATTTGACAAGCAACATTTTATTAAATATCTTCCATGTGATTACATACCAAAAACTTTGCTAATAAGTTAATAAGTTTCATTTTGAATAAGAAATTGCTTCCAAGATTTCAAAATATTCCATAAACTATTCCAACAATTAAATAATTATTTAAATAGTGTGTATACAGTAGGCATTTTTCTGCTGATTTTAAAAGTTAATAGTGCCTTAAATGATAATAGGAAATTTAAATGGATCTATTACAATACATCATATAATCATATAATCTAATATCTGATATAGCTTCCCAAATATCAAAATGAGTTAAACAAGCCGAAATTATTATATTGAATTTCTTCAGTTACTAAATATTAACATTTCAATGACTTGTGAATTTTCAACCTGATTATACTAAAGAAAAATAGTATTCATCATTAAGAGATCACAACTTAAAGGGATTCTTTATGGAATAACTTGATCAAATTTGCTATTTTTATCAAATAAGACTCAATTAATATCATTAAACCTTATTTGATAATGATCAACCTATCATATAATCTTGGAATTTCTATAAAATATCAATACACATAAAGATCTAACAATGGATTGAGTTAACTTATATATATATCAATTAGAATAACTAAGCTGTGACTCTTATTTAAAAATATTTCTAACAAAAAAACTTCAAAAATATTAAAATTTAATAATGTTGTTTTGATCAGAATTAAAATTGTAATATCAGGTAAGCTTTGATCAGAATTAAAAAATTTGAATTTAATCATGATTAAATCATATAAAATAGCAGATTTGATTTTTTTTACAGAACTTTAGCATTCTGATATATTAGCATTAATAAAATGACTAAATAACTGATTGTGAAAACTTTCAAAAGTGTCAAAAAAATATCTGAAAAATATACAACTTATGTTATATATTTTTGATGATCTTATATCTCTAGATATGCATACTTTCTGAATGGTTTTTTCTTTTTTATAGAGAATATATATATGAATATACTTTTTTGTGAATATGATCATTTTGCTTTCACTATTATAATTTTTATATAGTGAAATAAAGAGTTATTTATCACAAGTTTTTTTTTTTAATAATCCCCTTGAACTAGTCAACCTTAAGATAGATAAGAAATAATATTACTTAATTTTGGATACTCAATATGACATCCTATATAATTGAATTTTGCTGTTATTAATTTTTTACAAGAATTTTAATTATCAATATGCTAATTTCATTATCAATGTATAAATGCATAATTATTATTCTAGTCATAATTCAATATAGTTCAATATGTAATGTTACCAGGTTCATTTTCGTTTATCTTAATGTCTAAGTTGAAAGGCTGCGGCAGCTGATTCTACACATTGGAGTTTCTGACCTTAGGATTTTCTCTAAGTCCTACAG